ATATATATAGTTATATTATTTATATTCATGATCCCCCGGCTCAAACACTTGGAATTATTGAGATAGGCATGGTTAGTCGGACGGAACTTCTAAAATTTGTTTACTAACACCAACTAATATCAAGATATTTGTTCATTAATCTTTTTAATATTAATAACTTATCGAACATCAAAAGGTCTATAAAGTACAAAAATATAAGCTAATTCGAAAGTGTAGAGCATTTCTAGTATAAGTATCAATCTTTTGTATGATTGCACCTGCAGTAAATCGTTTAACTTCTTTCACTTGTTTCAATTATGAAACTTTTTTTTTAATGTTTTAATTTAAATTATATTTATGAGTTATTAACAATTTAGTTGTACATCATACCTTTACAGTACATAATATAAATACTTTTAGATAACAATATATATGCTTATTAAACTAAGTGAATCAGTATGCAACTATTTTTTTTTATATATTAAAGAGAAAGGTACAGATAAGTTTGTATGGGTGGGCCTAAACACCCAACCCACACGGTATGCAACTATTTGAACTTGATCTTATTTGACTATTTCAATTTAAAAGCTTTGAACTTTCAATAACATCAATAATAATAAATCATAACATGCATGGTCCAATTCATTTCGATCTATTACACCCATGAGATTGCTAAATCGTATCATTAAATGTATTTCAATATCACAATGCTTTTTCATTTTACATGTGAGGGTGTCTCTAGCTAGTATCGTAGGAGATGAATTACATCAGTCAACTTGCACACGCAAGCACTTTAATGTAATTTATTTCAATTACATATTTCATATTGTTTAATATTTTTCTATCATATATAGTACATGCAATAAATAGTTTAAACATGATAAGAGACTTGTAATATTTATCTTGATGTGCCCAATAATTTCAATAAGAGAGAGAAATTATAATTTAATTTGTATTAAGAATTGATTTAACATGTTAATATTTGTGGGCTCTTAAAATTCATGTTGCGACCTCTCTTTAAAATGAATAAGAGAGTTTTACTTGAGGTTCTGAATTTTTAGAAGGCAGATGGAATAGTAGATAAGACATCTAGAGATTTCACCCTCATTTTACGGATCTTTAAGATGTGGCATTTGAGGTTTCCCATTTGCACATGCCATTATGGTTAATTATCCCTTTTGATGATGTGAGGGCTACCCGCGCTGCCCCATTTCCTCCTTTCCGCAGTACAGTACCATGAACCAGACGTGGGAGACGGGTCACATGAACAACACCGAATCGAACCGAGCAACTCCCCTTCCGTTTTGTTTCCAATTTTCATCATGTTTCCTTTAATCCTTTCTTTCAAATCATTTCCTATATATTTGTTGCAATAGAGCTTGATTCTAAGTTTTGGCTTATGTTTTTTGTCGGGACAGTTGTTGACTTCCTCTTTCTCTCCTCTAGAGTTGTATCCAAAGGCGGTTGGTGCTACGTTGTACCTCGTCTGAGGTGGTGATCTCCTTTCAAGGGATTGAGTGGTGTTTTGGCTCTAGCTCATTTCCGGTGGGGGTATTTATCGCCGACTTTTCCCATCCTCTGCAGTCTTTTGCTTAACTACTGTTGTCAATCTTGGCCTTCGGCTTCGCTGCCATCACCCCCCTTGCCCTCCAACTTTGCTTTCGCAGCCCTGCTAATCCTTCTTGTTGTTGTTTAGCAGTGTTCGATCGACTTCCATTGTTGCAACTATCTCCAAACAGTCTCGCAGGTGTTTTCTACAATTCCAATTGCCAACAACTCCTTCCACTCCCTCCTCTTCGCTGTCATCGCAGTTTGAACAATCCACCTTTTGCTATAGTCACCTAGAAATCCCTTGCCTTGCTGTTTTACTATTGCTTGACCATCCTACATCACTGTCGCAGCCCAGAACAATACTTTCCCGTTGTTTACTCGTTATCCAGCCCCTCCCCCTGCTGCCACCGCTTTCACGACCTGGTCTGGGGGCTTGGAATTACCAAGATGGGAGCTGGCGGTCGGATAGAGGAAAACTATCTAACAGTTTCATCTCATCAAATAATCCACCAAAGCACAAAAGATCTATTCTATCAACCTATCCAGCTCAACCAATTGGATATAGCCTATGATTTTCACTCAAATAAGCAAAATCATTGAAGAACATATCGGTTATAGTCATGAATGTAATATATTGCAACCTATCTAGCCCAACCACTCGGTTAGAGAAATCTAGTTGTAATCGCTTCCTTTGGGAGGCTGACTGGCCAAATGACGCAACATAGGATTTGGGTTACTTCTTTAGTGGCATAAGGTTATTTCGAGTGTGAATATAATAATATATTTGATATGACAATCATTATTTGTGAGCTTTGGTTAATAATAAATTTTCACCCTCGATAAATTATTGTAGAGGGTAGATATGAATTACTTTTAGCTTATAGAGATCGAATTTACTTGAAAATTTTATAGTTTGAAATTTTTTATTTTAAGATAGTCCCCTTCGGTTGAGATTGTCTTTAACACAATCATTTTCAGAAAGACCCTTTCAGTTTGAAGAAAACTGAATTCAATGTAAAATATAAGAGTTAGGGCGGTAGTAGGCAGTTGTTGGCTATCTTTGGCGAATGCTGGAGGAATTGGATACAGCGGGTTCAACCAACTACACTTTACTTGGCAATGTATTTGGAATTCACCCAAATCCATTTAGGGTTTGTTTGGGGTGGCTACATCATTTTAAAAATGTGGTTGTATGGTTATGGTGAAGAAAACAATTTCTTACAAAGTTGTGGTAATAATTATAAACATATATTATTTTCCATAAAATCAAACAAGAGCGTTCTTACAGTTACTGTACTTTAACATGCATGTTGAAAAAATTTAGCTTCTCATTACAAAAATTTCTAGAAGGCGTCAAATTACAGAAAACACAAAATATGAACTGAGTTAGCTTCTCAAAGTAACAGGCCCTAAATTTAGCTTCTCATTACATTAACAGGCCCTAAAAATTTAGCTTCTCATTACAGAAATTTCTAGAGCTATGGTGGCAATTAGAAATGTAAAGAACAGGCCCTAAATTTCAAAAACACAAAATATGAACTGAGTTAGCTACAAATGCACTGTTATTTTACTCTACATTTGAAATTCTTTCGACCATACCTCTAAATTCTCAAAGCACCTACAAAAGGAATTCAATGCACTTTTTTTGCAACAGACCAAACAACCCCTTAATAATTTTGTTATCTTGCTCACATCAATTTAACTTAATTCACGAAAGGGGCAAAATGTGTTTTTTTAGCAATTTTGAAGGTAATCAAGCTAATTTGAATTCACTTCATGTGATGCTTTGTTCAATGCCTCCCTTTGACTTTGAATTTTCTACTTTCACTTGTCCTGTGCAATGTTGTATATGCATAGGTCAACACCTTAATCGGGCATGCTTGCCCATTCATGTTTGCTCGAGTCAACTCTCCTCTCATCTCCCTCCCCCTTTTAGTCTCCCCTTTAAAATCACTAAATCGACTGACATTGGTTCAACTAAATCGATGTTAGCCGGTGTTAATGCATTTGTTTTTTTTAAACAAAGAAATGGATTTTAACAACCGTCTATATTTATAAAAAAAGTTATGTAACCTGATGCATGTCAGAAGATTCACGGCGGTAGAGTGATTATGTAGCGTCTTAATGTTGCCTGAAAGTCCAACACACTCAGATAATAAAAGTAACAAATAGAGACGCTAGAAGTTTTATGTGGAAAACTCTAGAAAGGGAAAAAATCCATAGAGCTTAGCCTAGCTGAAAAAATCCACTTTAGGTTGGTGATTACACGTCCAGACCCTTATCCCACAAGTGGCGAAAGCTACACAGTTCCTCGAAGTATAATGTTTTTATACCGAAGGAATGATTGCACAGTTTTTGGGTGAGGTTGTAGTTGCTAGTAGTTGCCGGAACCGTCTTCATGGCATGTCATTGCATCGTCTCAGGATGACGCACTGCTTTGCAGGATGCTTTGGTATCCTGCGACTTTGGTTATTACTCCACACACTGTTTTGTTACTCCGCAACATACGTCTTGATTCTGCACGCGGCTTCATTACAACGAGGAAGGGGCAGCTGATGGTGGTCGTCAACTGTAGGAGCGGGAAGCGTTCGTTGAATCTTCGGTATAGAAACAACGCTCTAATTTAGGTTCTTCTGATTCTCCTTCAAGCTCAAGTCTTCTTGTTATCGGCATAGGCCCCCCCTTATGAATGGGGCAAGACTCTATTGTAGAGTTTGGGAGTGCCTCCCCTGCAAATAAGTAAGAATTCTAGGCCATTCGATTGGTCGGCCTAGAGTTTTCAATGATCAAATGACATTTTCTTGACATTCAAGTGTCTTAACAACGTCAGACATTTATTGATCTTGGGTTTATTTGATTTGTCACGTTAAGACGCTCGATTTGATTATAAGCTTTTTCAGTTTTTAAATCCATTTGAACTTCTAATTGGGCACCAAAAGATTCCAAATATGGTTTAGCGGATCGATATGTGCTTGATTTGACTCTGATTGGTCAAGTTTGGTGTCATTAAGTCTGTCTCGTTTAGTTGGTTAGTTTGATTATAAATTTGTAGAAATCAGAATTTTAGATGATTTTTAATCGAATTTGAACCTTTCTTATTCAAAAAGTTGCCTCGAGATCCGTGTCATGTCTCGAGATTCATGTTGAATTAATAAAATTTATTGATAATGTAGTAGTTCCCCCTTATTTTTGGTCGAAACTGGGGTTTTCATCCAAAAATACCATGAATTTGGCGCTTTCATCTTTTGTTCATACATATATATATATATATATATAT